TTATTCAGATCACCTGTCTGATGCAGTGTTGTAAAGACATTTCTTGAGCTTTCCTACAAAATGCTGTGATCCTGCCATAAGCAGACCGCCATACTCTCTTGTGAGGAGATGTCTTTTATTTGAAATTAACTTAAAGGAACAGAAAATGCTGTTTAAATCCCCAGCTTGCTTCCAACACTAGAAAATTGTGAGTGCCACCACACTGAGTTACAAAAATAACCTGTTACATGAAGGTAAGGGCAGGATGTGTTTTGTCATCTTCAGAGAAGTCCGAACATTACATTAAAATCATGTTGAGCTTCAGGTTGCTTGTGTGGATCTTTGTCATTCCATGTGGACTTTCTGCATGGGTGGATTCCCCATGTGACTTTGAACTCTTGAGTGTGTTGTAGAGTTGTGGAATGGGAGAGTAAAGGAGCTTTCACTGTTGGTTTTCTGTTTTGGAATAGGGAATCTGCAGAGACATTTCTGGGATCGTGAGTCCAGATTTCCCGTGTTGGGTCTCAGGAACAGTTGCCAGTCCTGACATTTATCCTGAGTCTTCTCCGAAAGTATCGGCCTTCTGTAGAAAAGAAAGGCAGTTTGACCTCTGCCTTCCAAAAGCGTTGCTAATATAGACGTATTTTTTTCATAAACAAAAACCATCAAGTGAAGACAACAGTCATTCTATTCTAGGGAAAGTCTCCGTGGGGAAAATCTCCAAAGTTCAGCATTTCTTGAGTTTTGATTCCTGAAAATGCAGTGTAGTCATATACAGTGTTTGCTTCATCTGGGCGGGTCTTGCTTCCTGGGTGAAGTTGTGAGATTGTAAAGTAAACTCTTTAGAAGAATAATGATTTTATTCTTCTGAGCGATGTCAGAGAGATTGTACTATTTTTTCCCCTTCAAAATTTTACTGGCCCTAGTTGGGAAAAATTATTTGTCTCTTGAAAATATCCAGGAAATTTAAGCTAAATCAGAAAAGTAGCAATGTGCTATTCATTGGCTGCAGCAATGACTCCCATGAGAGCATGTACTAGCAACTGTATTTTGATTTATGTGGAACTGATTTTTAAAAGTATTGTAGTTCACTGCTACTTCATGCCATCTCTGGGGAGACAAAGGTTCACCGCTGCTCCATCAAGAAGTTTGCTGCCTCTTGCCCATCCTGTGGTCAGGGAGGTGTCTGTGAAGAGGGGACACCTGCAGCTGAGTTTGTGATTCACGGATGACTTGCCATGAGTAAGGACTAGGGATGTGAGGAAGGAAGAAGAACAGAAATGTCTCTGGGCAAAATTAATTGGATCTGGTTTATGGGCAAGACATTTCTCAACCCTGGGACTGAAGGCATGTTAGTGCAAAAAAAAATGTTGAGCTAAGCCAGATAAGTTTAGATGATACAGTTTGAGTAGCAGATGTTTGTTTGACTCTTCCTGCAGCTCTACCCTTCCAAGAAAAGGAGTACCCTTCCCTTCCTCACAGTTCAACGTGCCCAAAAGTTGGTTGTGTGTAGCCCAGGCAGTGCGGTTTTTCTCACCAGTTGTGCTGAGTGTCTGGTTTTGCTGCTTGTGGAAGTTTCGGGAAGCAAGCAGTGTTTGAGAAGATTGTAGCATGTTTTGATTGTGATCGCATGGGAGAACAGAGATACAAAGTGATTTTGTCCCTGTCAGTCTTTAGTTTGAGGGGTTTGATTGTACTAAAGGCAAACCCAACAATCACTTTGGAGAGTGGTGTCACGACAGGCTTTGTGGAATAGCAGAGACCTCGTGAATCCCGTCATTCCAAGTGTTTATTTCAGATAGACTCGTGTGATATTTTTGCTCAACGTTTTGAGGAATCTTAATATGATGCTTTCTGTACACAGGTTTTACTTAATTTTATCATCAAAAGAGTCATGAGCATTTGCAATGCTTTAACCTTCCCTCTTGTGCTGTGTTTTTGTCTTGTTTCTGTAGCATAGGGGGGAAAAAAAGGCAAGTCCTTTAAATAAGAAGTTTCAGTGGGGTTTAACTGCCCTTGCTGTGGATCTCCACCAGAACTACTGGGGGGGGGGGTATTTTTTTGTTGTTGTTTTAAACAAATATTTTTGTTGTCCAACAGTTATTAACCTGTATTCATAAAACAATGACCTCTTCCAGTTCAGGCTGCAGATGGCAGATGCTCTGTTAAGTGATGTCAGGGTAGAACTTAGTTCAGGTCCCTGAAACATTCTCACAATGTTCTTTTGATTATGTGTGTTTGGAGTTATCACTTTCCTGTGACAGAACCTGCTTGCACTGGCTCACAAGGACTGTAGAAGGTTGTAAAAGCACTTGTTTATATAATCATGTAGTTGTCATCAAAGGTTTTTTTAAAAGAAATTTATGCTTGCAAGAAATTTTGGGTTGTTGAGCCTGGAGAAGAGAAGGCTCCAGGGAGAACATTTTGTGGTTTTTCAGTACTTAAAGGGACCCTACAGGAAAGATTGGGACAAACATTTTATCAGGACCTGCTGTGACAGGAGAAGGGGTAATGGTTTCAAACTAAAAGGTGGCAGATTTAAACTAGATGTAAGGAAGAATTCTTTTATGAGGGTGGTGGAACACTGGCACAGGTTGTCCAGAGAACCTGTGGATGCTCCATCCCCGGAAACATTCAGGGCTGGGTTGGAAGGTGCTCTGAGCAACCTGACCTAGTTAAAAATGTCCCTGCTTGTTGCAGGGGGCTTGGACTAGATCAGAGAATCACAGGCTTGGGTTGGAAGGGACTTGAAAGTTCTAGTTCCAGAGGTAAAAGTGCACAAAATACCTTGTGTGCCAAAAATGTTGAGGTTCTTGGGGAGCATTAATGAAGACAAAAATGAGAATGAAGGGTGAATGTGGATCTTGAATCACTTTTTGAATGAGACTTCACTGCTGACCTGTAAGATTTTAATACATTTGAGACACTGCTATGTAAAACTTTGAATTTCATAGTTGGAGGAGAAACATAATTTACCAGATTGTATTTAAAGAGGTGTTTTGCTGAAATATATTAGAAGATTTTTACGATTGATTGCCATCTTCTTGCTTAATTTGTGACATACAAGTAAGAAGTTTTGCATTTCAATACATATATAAACAGTGTAAATTGGATTCTTTAGGGAGGCTGTGGTGATGGTTATAACTAGTCAAGGAATTGTTACTGTATTTTTATCCCTTTGCAGCCACTCACCATGTGAATATATTGCAGTGGTCTTAATCCTTCAGCCATCAGTTTTAAAAATCCAAGGAGTGTTGTAGCTACCTGCTTCAAAAGATGATGAAAGAACAGTATTTAATATAAAGAAAAAGTGACATTGTTAGTATTTTATTTTCCATAAATGAAAATGTGTATTACAGCAATGCTCTTACTGCCCATCAACTTGCAGGCATCTGATTTAGATTTATTTCACTTTATTATCAGTGTCTAATCTAGATTTATTTATAGTCATTTAATCAGAAGAGAGAAGGGGATGGGTCTTGAAGTACAATTTCATGTGCAACCTGCAAGAAGACCCTTTCATTGAGACCACATTAAAAAAAATCAGTATATCCCCAAGAGAGGAAACTCTAAACTGAAGTGTGTAGAGGTTGTATCCTAATGCCCTTACATATTTTCTGTCATTCATCTCCCCAGTGAGTTTCTGATTTGTTTTGGCCTTTTTAACTATTTGTATTTCCCTACTGAGGAGCAGGGGTAAACAGTTAAATCTGTACACGTGCAAGGAGAATGACAGTTTTAACATGGCCTTCTTGAGAGGAGACATTAAGGTTTTTTTGAAAATGGTTTTGCTTGTATGGATAAACACATATGAGAGATGATTAATTTTATTACTGTGTCAATATTGGCAAATCCGTCCGCTTGCAGTCTCTTCACTTTGTTATTATTCTTTGAAAAAAAGTGCAAAAAGCTCTTGAAATTTTGTAGGTTTAAAGCTTTGAAATTAGGCTTATGTAGAAAAAGAGGAAGCATCTTTATAGTAACTTCCTTTCAAAGTGCTGTAGTTTTTAATGCAAGTTTTTGATACCTTATTAGAAGAATTATTTATTCCCTTGACTGTCTTTTAGTGAGCAATACAAATACTTGAATAGATTAATAGTTCTTTGGAAGTAGTAACGCTCAGGAGAAGATAGGTTTAGAGATGAAGTAATAGCCTTTTCATGCTGTTTAGAGGGTTTCCATTCAGAATTTTGGCTAATTCTCCCATTCATTGATATGAAAAATTAAATATTTGTCAAGAACTTCCCAACTGAAACTTCCTCCTACTTAAGAACCAAACCCAATTATTTCTGGCAAACTGCTTTTCCTGCTAAGGACACATACCCTGACCTTTACGCAGCAGGTTGGAGCATTTCTGAAAGTCACTCTGGTTCTGCCCGGTATTATCAGCACAGCTCTGTAAACACAACTATTCCCTGCAATTTCTCTTTGCTGCCCTGGGGCTGCAGTATTTTATACTTTGTGAAGTATCAAAAAATGTGAAGTTGAAATTGTATGTTGTCACTCCTTTTTCAGAAAAACCCAGCATATTTCTGTTAGCAGTCCCAGTTTTATTTTTAGACTATTGGCAAGACAAGCGCAAACCTTGTTGGCAGCTGGAGGGTGTTACCCCTCTGCACGAGAACCCGAGTGACACTGAATGCCATTTGTTTATCGGTGAACCAGGGGAGTGTTTGGCTCACACAGGGTATGGTGAGACATGTGCATCCTGCCCGGGCTGCAAACAATCAGCAGTGACAGGAAACTGCTTTGCAGCAGCTTTGAAGGACGAAGGAGCTTGTTTGAAAGCCGAGGGCAGAGCAGTCTGGCTGAGGGATTGTCTCAGCTCCTCTTGCACATCTGGGAAGCAGGTTTGTGTTTCATAACGTCCTTGCCAAACTGGTAGGGGCTGGGTGTGTCCACACCTAACTTTGTCTCTTGAGAAGCCAAGCTTTTATTTTGCAAGTGACTTGCTTTATTTTGTAAAGGTTGTTCACTGGGAATTTTGTTTTGGTTTATTTGTTTTGTTTTTTTTTTTTCAGGAGGTCCAAACATATGGGCCATCACCTCCGAAGAGCGGGCCAAGCACGACAAGCAGTTCGATAGCCTTAAACCCACGGGAGGCTACATTACAGGTTGGTCTGAGGTTCTGCATTACACATTAACTTCGGTGTACACATACCTATCTTTGTAAAACAGTTTGAGAACTGCATCCTATTTCTAGCCCTTTGTTGTGTGACTAACAACCATATTCTTCAGGCAAACAGCCACGGGATATTAGTAAACTTTACAAGCTTTCCTCTAAAGTCTGGCACTGTTCCATTAACCCTGTCACTTCTGCAGCTACCAGCTACGTGCTGTCCTTCTGTCTGGTGTCAGAAACCGAAGAGTATCAGGCAAAATCTGTGCTTAGATGGGAGGCTGCCAAGGAGCACTTACAGTAGCTATTGTGGCAAGTGACGCCAGAGACACCAGAAGTGCCTCTCCTCTGTCTGAGCAGTGTTAGAGAACACTGTGCTGTTAGATATCTTTGTTTCAGAGGAGGAGGCAGGGAGAGAGATGCTGACAGCTTGTCCTTGTTAGCAACTGCTTGGAATTTATTACCCATTGGGCCTTCAGCAGGTTCTGGATACACTAATGGCATTTTGCACTGCCCTGCTGTCAGTTCCAGTTGCATTCAGCTGCTGGAACAACTGGGTCATGTTGCTATGCACCTCAGATCTTGCAGGTTTTAAATGTAGGAATCTGCATGTGGTATCAAGAAAACACTCAAGTTCATTGGTAAAGATGAGTTAATTTAAGAATGCCCCATTCTGTGTGCGTGGGCACTAAAGACCAGCCCTGATTGCTTCTACCTGCCCAGCTATCTGCTAATGCCCTTTCTAGTTGCTCCCGCTTTTCCTCTTTTGGGGCTGGAAAGGACTGAAGAGAGTGGGAAATTGTCAGTTTGCAACATGCACATCTTCAGGCTAAGTGACAGCACTGGCAGGTTGGTGTTTACCTCCAGCTGGAATACAGGCAGTTCTGGAGAATGCCTTTAGGCCACAGCTGGTCTCCTACCTGCACATGCATCTGACTGAAGGCTTCATTATTTATTTGCCTAATGCTTGAAGTAAAGGGTTGTGTATATAAAGGTAAGGCAATAGAGAGCTGAAAGAATAACCTGAAGTCTTAGCTTTAAACATCTGTAATTCACTCAGAGGTAAGCATAAACACCACTCTGCGTGTTTTATTATGTGTTTGCAGCATGATCAGTTACAGTTGATGTGGAACTTGCTGTGGGATTGCACAAGAGTTCCCATTCCCTTCCTGAAATACTGAAATAGTGGATGTTTTCTGACAGAACAGATTATTATTTAGAACATGGTATTCTCCTTGTTTTTCTAGGGAGACAATACTGGGGATAGAGGAAAAGGAAAGAAATAGATCATCCTTTCCTATAAAAGTAATTGGAGCAGGACTAAATTTTCAGTCACTTTTACTTCTTTAAGCCTTGCATCCTTTAAACTGTTGACAGCTATTGATTTGTGACCTGTTCAAGTTTTTATAACTATCTGAAATCACTCCTCAGAGTGAGGATTGGGGATTACAGGGTACATGAGTACCTGACAATCACTGTAAACAGCCTTAAAAGCTGGGGAAAAAAACCCTGGAAAGCTTGTCATCCAGCATGCTGGTTCCTTTTGAAAACCTGATCCCTTGAGAGAGTGCTGAGCTCATCCTAAAATCTGTGTCTCTGGTGTCAAAGGCTGTCTTTCTCTCTTATTTATCACAGGTGATCAAGCACGTACCTTTTTTTTGCAATCGGGACTACCATCTTCAGTCCTTGCTGAAATATGGTAAGGCATTCTTTACTGCTGGTTTTTCTTTTTAAGGACAGTACTTGAAGGCTGTGCATCTCCTATCTTTGGTGTGTTGTGTTGTCTCACAGAGGCTTTCAGCAGTCAAGGTAGAAGTGACATCTGAGTCATTGTTTTAATTTTACTGAATTTAGAGGAAGGATTCAGCCCACATGTGTACCAACACTTAATTAAAAAGTAGTACTTTTAAAATCTTTCTTATGGTGTCAATTCAAATTGGATCTTGTTGAACACAGCCCTTTTAAACTGTAAGTGCTTGAAGCAAAAAGCAGTGATAAATTGCAAATTTTGTAGAGGGAAGGGCCTGTTGGACTGTCACAATGGTCATTGTTAAGCCCAGTCTTTATATTTTAAATAATATAGAAAAAGAGGTTAAAAAAATTAACACTTAAAATAGTGATATGGAAAAATATGTAAATAATGGGTTAATTAATTGCTGGAGACACCAAATTGAATTATGTTTGAAATATTAGTAACCACTAAAATATGGCAGAGTAAGATCAAGTGTGGGGAAAATTACATGCTACTAAACTGGGAGTGGAAAATACACTGAAAGCAGAGAGGAAAAAATTAAAAGTCAATGAAAAGGTTGGTAGAAGGACAGTTGTAATACATTGTGAGATACCAACCAGTGCTGTAATACAGGAACTGGGGAAAGTGCTGGGTTTTGCAGCATATAAATGGTGATTGCAACACTTGAAACCATTTTCTTCTTTGTAACTCCTCAGTTTTCACAACAATCTTGTGTTCATTTTGGGATGTATGGCTGTTACCAAGACATAAACGAGCTAAAAGGCACGTAGTTGAGGCTCTTAATAAATTAAAAACAACTTATTTCTGAAAGAAAATTAAAGAAACGAACTAAATGCAAGTTAGTTTTTTCTTCAGGCACGTATAATCGTTAGAAAAGGCTTCTAGGATTATCAAGTTCAACCATCAACCCAGCACCATCACCATGTTCACCACTAAACCAGATATTTAAATGCCTGGAAAAGAATGCAAGGATTTTTTTCTGTGGAGCCTTGGGGTTTTATACTGAATAGTAACAGAATGAAAGGGAAAACGTAGCATAACATCTTCTGATTATTTTTTTTTCCTCCTTCCTAATTTTATTTATATTCCTGAGCTTGGTCCTTGAATGCTTAAGTATGAATAATATTTCATGTTATTTACCTGGCCAGAAATTCTGTGGCTGTGTAGGCACTGTTACATTTATTTCCTCTTGTATTTAAGCTTATTAGAAAAAGTGTCCAAGCCTGTGGATATGAGGTTTAAAAAACCTCACTGTGCTGTTTGTGAATTAATGAAGTTTTCATAGTGGTGTATGAAAGTGCCTTCAGCAGATTTCTGCATCCTCCTGCATCCTGTTTCAGATTCTTACGTTAATTCCTTATGTTACCAGACCTTAATTTAAAATAATTATTCTAGCTAGTAGTTTAGAAAAAAAGCATAGCAGAAGCTTGCAGTGGAGGCAGCAAGTGTATCCACTGGGCAGGAGACTTCTGCTTTTCCAAATGTTTTCCTACTTTTTCAGAAATTAAATATTTAATATATAGCAACTTTGAAGACTGCAAAGGGGGTAGTGAAACCTTTTAAGCTTCTGAGGGTATAAATGTCAAAAGTAGAAAATCTACAAATGCTTACAGCAAGTTTTTTGTTCTCCTATACCAAACCAGTAAATAAATCTGATAGAAAAGCTTCTTGTTAATTAAAAAAGTTAAATATATATTTCTTCCCCGTGGGCTTTTCTTATTTTATTTTATTTTATTTTCAAGGACACTATCAGACCTGAACAAGGATGGAAAAATGGATCAACAGGAGTTCTCTATAGCCATGAAACTCATCAAGCTGACATTGCAAGGACAGCACTTGCCTGCAGTTCTCCCTCCTGTCATGAAACAAGCTCCAGTATTTTCGCCACTAATGTCAGCTCGCTTTGGTACTTATGAATATATAATTACTTAGTGTTCAGAGGTAAAAAAACACAGTTAATTGCAGCCAAATAAAAGCATTAATCTGACTATAAAAGTTTAGTGAATCAGTGAAAAAAGCCCCAAGGATATTCCTATTTAGGAAATTCATCAAACCACTTTCTTGATGTTTCTGATAATTTCATTCTACGAAGATGTTTAAAAATAAAGAAAAACCTTCCGCTGAATATTGACATGAGGTGCAAGAAGGCCATTCAGACCTGCCATCTGACTTGCAGGCTCTGATTTTGTACCAGTGGTCTTTTTTTTGTCTCCCACCCACTCATTCACCTATTTATACTTGGGGGTTTTAAAGTCAAATTTAGTCAAAGGTCAACCTTATGGTAAAACAGTTATTTTACACATTTTTTTTTCTAAATGAATCAGATTGTCCATTCTGGTTAAATGATTAACTGAACAGAATTACTTTAACTTTTATTCCTTTCTGGTGGCATTTGGGCATTCAGTGCATGCTTGTTGTTTTGTAGAACAAAATATCCATAATGACTTTATCTGGATTGAAAAATTGGTGCAGACTTCCATGCTAAAATTAAATGTATGCATACATTAATTGCATGCATGGTTTAGAATGCCTGCCCTTCACTAAATGTGTTTGCACACAAGGGCAGTGCATTGCCAGAGAGCTGTGGTTGGCACCTCCTGCTGACTGTCCATCATCTCACCCGTTGTCTTCCACAAGACTCAACCAGTAATTCAAGTGCCCTTGTTTGCCTTGGGCAGCTGCCTTCGAGGAACCCTTTGCTAAGTATTGGTCCCTAAGGAAGGGCTTTTCACCCCTGCGGATTCTCCCAAGGCTGGCACTTGGAAGAGAGTTCAGAAACAGCAACACCTTTTCCCTGTAGAGCATTGTCACAGCTTTTGAGGTGTGTTGTAATTCTCTTTCAGGGGCCAGATGGGGAAAGGTTTGTTGAAGAATGAGTAATAGCTGCAATTATAGAAAACCAGATATTACTGTGTTTTGAAATACTAACTAAATCTACCTTGAGAATGAATTTGCTCATAAAGGTGGGGTTTTTTTGATTCACATTCTTCAGTATATTTTCCTCTGTGAGCTATCTTATCTAAATTTAGAGAAATTTAGATACTAGACATGAGCATCTATTTTAACTCACTGTATTCCAAACACAGGTTGCTTTGTGTAGTTTCTGCTTAGCATAAGGGACACAATTTCATGCTGAAGCCTCTGCAGTATTAAATCCTGAATTATTGGATTTTGCTCTAGGAATGGGTAGTATGCCAAATCTGTCCATGCCAACGTCCATGTCTACAATCACACCATTAGCTCCCATGTCTCTGGCTTCCATGACTTCCATTCCTCCCTTGGTTATCTCTGCTCCCCTGGTGCCTTCTGTCAGTACCTCCTCGTTGCCAAATGGAACATCCAGCCTTCTGCAGCCTTTGTCCGTACCTTTCTCTTCAAGTAAGTACAGAACAGTCCAGCACTCACTCTCAGAGCTGTGAATCTCATTTTCTCTATGGCTAATTTCAGACAGCAGTGCTAACACATGCATGAGAGTTTAAAAAAACCCAAAAAACCCCAAAAACCAACCCACAGATGGGGTTTTTTTCCAAGTTCGTGTGTTAATTCCGTTCTAACTAGTTAATCTTAACAACACGGCGCTAATTGGCTTTTCTTCTGAAACAGCCTAGAATGTTGATTATAAAGTGTTATCTTATACCTGGTTGCTTCACAGTTTCCTTGGGGTTATTTTTTATTTTTCTTTGTTCGTTTTCAGCGCTGCCTCATACTGGCTCTTTAGGTCCTGTGGCAGGAGGGTTTGGTGGTTCTAATATACAGAAGGCACAGTCACTCATCGATTTAGGATCTAGCAGGTATGAAAGTTCAGTTTAAGATGGTTGTATCTTACTCTTAAGTAGTATACCTCCCAAAACTTAGGGATCATTTCTATTTTCAAAATATAGTCATTAAAAGTTAATTTATCTAATTTGACCTGCCAAACCTGAAAATATTTATATTTTTTTTATGTGCACAATAACTAATATTTTCAGTAAATCTGACAAAACTATCTGAAGTAGGTGAGGAGTTGAAATGAGAGAAAGCAGTGACAAAATATGGATATGGCACTTGAGGGCATAATTTAGTGGTGAATGTGGTGATGGTGCTGGGTTGATGGTTGGACTTAATAATCTTACATGTCTATCCCAACCCTATCCATTCTGTGAAAAGGAAGGGGATCTACCCCTTTAATAAATAGAAGTAAAAATTACCAAGTGGTTATAAAAGCAAAAATGCATTGATGCGCTCATTCATTATAGAGGGCACCATGTAATCAGCAGGCATGTAAGAATAGGATTTGTTATCAATATTTATGTGTGAATTTGTTTTATGAATAATAGAAGATTATGAATCTTTGTAATAGCTGCTCTATATTAGTTCACTAATTTTAAAGCTTTGCCATAGACAGAGTGAGGCTTATCTATCCAGTTTGGCATCCAAGGATGTCTCCCAAAAAGATAGTCCAGAAGGCATCTCAGCCCCAGCTCAGTTCCATGGGGTGATTCAGATGTTATTGCACCTCTTTGCTGCCTGTACAGGGCATTTGGGATGGATTTGGGCTCCTCATACACCTCATGTTAAGATTTCTGTAAGATGACTGTGGGCATGGTGTGTGCCTGAATAATCTTTCTGGTTTTCTGGTTGGTTTTTTTAATCACAAAGCTTTTTTTTTGGTGGGGCTATAGTGTTGCAAGGTAGCTCTTCTTCAGCGTTACTGTTGGCAGCATTTTCACCATCATATTGTCCAATTCTAAGCAGAGGATGAGTGTCCAGCATCCTGCTGGAAAGGCTTTGTTTCTATCACCATTCTCCATTGCCTTGGATAACACTTCCAATAGTTTTTTACTTGACAGGGTAGGGGATTACCTTAGACAAGGCAGGCTGGGTGCACCTGGATTTGTCTCATTTTCAAAGATGGGACACTGAGAACGCTGGGAGCTGCAGATGGAAGTCTTATGGATCTATGTGAACACTCCATCAGCACAATTCTGCAGAAACTGAATGAGCTGGAAAAGCTCCATTCAGCCTGTCATTGTCACTAATAGAAGAGCTAGAGGTGGAATATGCAGGTTTAAACAGCATCAGAAGCTGCTTTTGGTTATGAGTTTATCAGGTGCACTTTTATTCTCATGCTTCTTCATTTACATACCTGTTAAAGTTACTTGGACATCTGCTCAAGGCTTCACAGCCCTTGTAAACGCTCCTAGGAAGTTGAGATGTTTTCCTGGTTTCCTGTACTATTATTTTACAGTGGTAAAATGATGAATTGTGTGGAATAAGTGCCTCTGATACTAAAGGAACAAGATCTTCAATTCAAGAGTTTCCTTATAAATATGTGTCCCTACTTTCACAGTAAAATTCCATATTTGTATGAAAATATTTGTAGCAAGTTATTAGAGGTAAAACTTTGTGGAAGTTGTTTCATATTATCAGAAAATGCTGTATATCTTCTATTCCAAAGCCTGCCTACTAAGCCAAGTGACTTAGAGTTCTTTCTTTATCTCTTTTTCTCATTTGGTTTTATTTTAATGTTTGGTTGGTTGATTTTGTTTGGTTTTTTTGCTTTGGTTTTTTTGTTTGGTTTGGTTTGGTTTTGAAATTATATTGCAGTTCAAATTCTTCCTCTAGTGCATCACTAGCTGGGAATTCACCAAAGATTACAACCTCAGACTGGGCAGTTCCTCAGGCCTCCAGATTAAAATACAGACAGAAATTTAACAGTCTTGACAAAAGTATGAGTGGATATTTATCAGGTGAGTATGATGTTTGGTATGGATGGGAAAAAACACTGTTCTCTGCCTCTGGAACATCACAGGGTGAGGGATGGAATCCCAGCTTGGGATTTGACTTGCATATGAAATAAAAGCTGGAAGTGTTGATGTTCAGACCTGTGCAGGACAGAGTGGGTTTCAGCCAGCCAAGAAATGGAAATAACCATCAGTTCATTGGCTTGGGCTCTGTGTTGGACCTGGAGAAGCCAAATAAATAACTGGAGAAGCTACAGCAGCTGTTTCAGGGAAGAGAAGCATGGCAGTGGTGGGATCGAAGTAGAAGGGCCTGAGATCTAACCTTAAGGCTGTGGAATTTAGCTCTGTAAAGTCAGCAGGCATTTTTCAAGCATCACTCTTTGAGTCAGTGAGACTCTTTCTTATGAAAATGGGGGAAATTCACAATCATGTGCTCCTGTGTATCTATTAATCATTGCTTAGGTACCTGGGTTTTATTTGATTGGAATTTTTACAAAGTAATTTAAGGGAGTCATTCCTTCTTGACTTGCAGTGACGTCTGTGCTGTGCCCCAGCATTATGGTGGTTTCGAAAGGCTTCACACAAAGTTAGTATAAGATTGTTTAGCTTGATTCAGGGCTGAAGGTTTCATCAAGCTGCCTAGAAGGGTATATTTCTTTGCTACCAAAGAAAGCTGACAGCTTTCCAGTGTGCTTGCTGAAGGTTTAGGTAGACAGTCAGCTGTGCTTTTGTAACAGCTGTGGGGATTACCATAAATATCCTTTTTTCATGTCAGCTTCCCTGTTAGGTGCTCTGAGTGAAAAAAACGTACACAAGAATACTTACATCTTCATTGTGTTCAGGTCGTAATGCCTGTTGTTAAGCCTGGAAGTAAAACCAACTGATGAAAATGGATTAGATTAATACAAAAAATAAACATGCCCCAGTTCATGACATTTTTTGCCTCATATGAATCTTTGAAGAAAGTGTTTATTTTTGTTAAAATCTTTTACACTCTCACTAAGGATTTCAAGCAAGGAATGCCCTTCTGCAATCAAACCTTTCACAGACTCAGCTGGCTACTATTTGGTGAGTTGAGTTATTGATTACAAATTCAATGTGTTTATGATGTTAAGAGAGGAAATGTGCTTTATTAAATAAAAAATTATAAAGAGACACTGTACATCTATAATCATAAACAGAAACTAAGCTGCTTATTAAAATAGTTTGTTCATTAGTTACATTTCCAAAAGACACTATGACATAATTTTTCACTCTGTTTGTTAAAATCCGTATAATAGAACAGATACTAATTTCAGTTTCTGATTCAGGGTTGCACTAGTTCAGCTGAAATGAGGGTTCATTCGTTTCAAATGTAGGATTCTGAAAACTAGCTTGTTGGCTTTAAAATATGGAGGAAGATAAAAAATTCAGTAACCCTTCAGCTTTTCTGAGTTTTACTGCTGTTTCCATAAAGATACCTGCATATCACACATTTGTTAAGACTTGCCTTTATTGTGGTGCTGGAAGTGGTTACAGTTCTCTGAAGGCTTTTAACAATCTGCCCTGCTAGCCATGGTAGTTCAGGTCACACCTTCAGACATAACTTGGATGTTACACATAAAATTTAGTGGCCCAGCAGAATTCACAATAGCTTGGTGCTTTAATCTCCAGTTTGCTTTCTTCCTCTGTCCCAGGACAGTCATTTGTCTTTAGCAGCAGCAAGCTGAAATGTTCTTTTTATTTGTTCAGCTTGTTTGGTTACATGCTGTGAAGGAAAACATGGAGTGTGGCTGTATAACTCCACTCTGGAGTGTGGGGGAATAAAGCAGGTGTGTAGGCTCTGTTTTCCTCCTGGGTGCGTGTCCTGGAGGTATCAGCAGCCAATGCAAGGGGATCTGTGTGCCCATGTAGAGAGGATTAACAGCCCCAGTTTCAGTTTGGCCCAAAGTAAGGATTTTTTAATATTTCTACTGGGTGTTATA